AAAGAAAATGATGCCAGAGCGGACAGAGGAAGTGCTGAAGCAGGAGTAGGGAGACCCGGTTCTAGCGCCAGTTCTGGCCTCCAAGAGCTGCATTGCCTTTGTAAGACCTTCCGTCTCTCAAGGCCTTATGTCTCCTCTGTGCGATAAGCAACCTGGATCATGTGATCCCCAGCATCCCTTCCAGCCTGGCAGCTTGCACTTAGAGAAGTTTCCAAGGGCTGATGATGGCCTCCTATGCTTCTGGAAAGTCTAGAGCTTCAAACAACAGTCCAGCTTCTAAGAACAAAGGAGCTTCTCCAGAGCTCCAGGGCCCAGGGCAGCGGCACAGGGGAAATGAGGTCCTGGGAACAGTTATGGGAAATCTAAAAAGGGGGAAAGTTGTGAGCCAAAAATGCAAATATAGGTCAGATGTGGTGGCTCACACCTGTAATCCCAGCACTTTGGGAGGCTGAGGCAGGAGGCTTGAGGCCACCCCAGGCAACAGAAGTGAGACCCCATCTCTACAACATAGAAAAAATGTTTTAAATATAAGAAAGAAAATGTAAACTATACTACTCCCCTTCTCCTAAAATATATTCAGTAGGCTTTAATTCTTCCATTTGGAGAAAACAGATGGAGTCCCTAACTATTCAATATTCTGAATTTGAGCCAGTGCAGAGCACGTAGAGGCCTAGGGAAACCATTGGGAGAAAAAGACAAATCACATGGCTGGAGCACTGCTTCCTACACTTCAGATGCCTTGGCTCGCTGGAGTCTCACAATAGCCCTAGAAAGTAGGTATTGTGGCCATGGTGACAGATGATCGCATCGAGGCTCGGAGAGGTAAGGTGACTTGCCCTAGGTAACGCATCAGGCTCTTGGGCTTCAGAGACCACATGCATTTGTTACAGGACCACAGCCCCACTGGGGTGCCTGGGTTTTCTACATGTGAACTCTAAAGCTTGAGCCAGGCCTGGTGATTGCTCAGAACCTCACACCACACACAGACATTGAATGGGAGGAAAGACAGGGGTGGCTATCGGGTACCGACGGTGGATGAGAGAGGCAGGAGAACATTGAGGACATCAACGGAAGAGCAATTTCCTTTACATGGGTCAGCAAAGATGGGAAGCTTGCCCAGATTAAATAAGGCTGAACATCTGCACTTTGTCCTCCCTCCTCACAGTCAGCAGTCAGCACTCCGCAGTCCCCACCCATGGGAGCCAGCATTAACCAGCTCTGGGTGCAAACTCAGCAGACTGACTCAAGGGCTGTGACTCAGGCCTTGCTGGAATTGCTCCCAGACAGCTGCCATCTCAGCACATCCTTGGGCCCAGAGGGGACCCCATTCCAGACACCTAGCTCCCTACAGACCTTGGAATTAAGAAACATTTAGGCTTTCAAGGAGTCTCTAATGGTTGGGGATAAGAAAATCCCAACATTAAAATGGTTTTCTACCCCCATCACTTACAAAGTCCTCTTAGAGGGGAGCTCTTGAAAAGGACCAGAGCAGGCTGGGCACAGTGACTCACACCTGTAATCCCAGCACTTTGGGAGGCTGAGGCGGGCAGATCACGAGGTTAAGAGATCAAGACTATCCTGGCCAACATGGTGAAACCCCACCTCTACTAAAAAAAATACAAAAATTAGCCAGGTGTGGTGGTGCGCACCTATAGTCCCAGCTACTCGGGAGACTGAGGCAGGAGAATCGCTTGAACCTAGGGGGCAAAGGCTGAGGTAAGCCGAGATTGTGCCACTGCACTCCAGCCTGGTGACAGAGCACGACTCCATCTCAAAAAAAAAGAAAAAGAAAAAAAGAAAAGGACCAGAGCATAGAACCTCAGAGCCGGAAGGGACCCTGAAGATGACCTCGACTAACTGCCATCTTACTAATATGGAAACAGAAGCTCAGAGATGTGCCAGGGCCTGCAGGGGTCACACAGCAAGTGAGCAGCAGAGCATCCCTGAGAGCCCAGGCTTCCTGGCTTAAGGCTGCATCCTCTGCCCCACGCTATGTGGGCCTCCCCAGCCCAGCCTGACATAGGGAGATGGAGGCCCCACAAGTCTGGAAATAATCCAAATGAAGTTCTCGGCTCCCCACACTGTTGACCACGGAGGGCAGACCTGCTCCTGTTACAACTGTAATGGGGAGGATCCCAGGCTTTCCCAAGCCCAGAGCATCACAGGGCAAAGCGGGGATGTTAGAAAGGGAAGAGCACCTTTGGTTATTCACCTGCCCTTCCTGGGACTGTATATCTCATCAGTAAAATGGAAATAGTCACCCTGCCTGGCTGTCATTTCACAGTATCAAATGGGCTTAAAGCACTCTGTGAGCAATATGTGAGGGATCATTTGTACATTTTAGAGGGAGAAGGGGTGAGAAAGAGAGGGCCAAATGCTGAGCTCCTTGATGCTCTCCTGAAGGGGAGAACCTGACCTGCTTCTGGGAGTCTGCCTTGTTGTATATGAGGCTGTAACCCCCAGGCTCCCCTGGAGAATGCCTTGGGTTTCCCTCAGAGCTGCCCAGCCCTCAGTCTCCAGGTCTTGCCTGCAAACAAACCTAGTCTGGCTTCTGAGTGTCTTTGAGGTCAACAGACATGGAAAGAAGGGGATGGCTGAGAGGAGATTCAGAAGTTGGGGTCCACGTTTAGCTCACCTCAGACTCCGGGAGCTCAGGAAAGGCCATTTTTAGGTACTGCAGACGGGCTGCACGGAGAGCATTGAACCAGTCCACTATCTCCTGCCGAGAGAAGTACACAGGACACACACAGCAATGAGATGGGGCGGGTGGGAGGCTGAGTCTGGTGGCGGGAAGCTAGCTGGTCATCGGGTGTGGAGCACATGCATTCAGCACCTGCGCACACCCCACAGCTCAGCTCAGGGGCATCCAGGGAGGACTGTGTCAGAGCCTCCTGGGCTAACCTGGGCAAACGGGAAGCCTCTGACAGGGACAACCCCAGAGCCCTGGGAAAGGATGGGGTGAACTGCACAGGAGTTCTGCAATGGCCTCAGACAGTGCTTTTCACCTTCTAATGCGTGCAAAATCACCTGAGGCTCTTGTTAAAATGCAGAGGCAGATTCAGTAGGTTTGAAATGGGGCCCAAGACTCTGCATTCCTAACACACTCTCAGGTGATATGACGCTGGTAGTCAGTGGAACACACTAGAAGGAGCAAGGCTCTAGGAAATCATAGTCCTCAGATGTCAAAAATTGGCATTTGGGTGGGGAGAAGGTATGCCTGGGGAGGCTCCTCTAATGAGGATGCTCATGGCATCTTAGACCAAAGCTGGCTTAGCCCCTTCTGCTGTCACTCTGGGAGAATGCGTCTCTCAGCAGCGTGGGCCACCTTCATCTCCCACCCAGACAACCACGTATCTAGCTGGCCTTCATCGGCTGCCCTCCGATTGGCCCTCTCACGGCAGCCAGAGTGATTTTCTAATCAGAAAATCAGATAATAGAAAAACAGATCTAATCAGTCTGGCTTAGAGTCCTGTCTACTACCCTCAGAAAAAAAGTCTTAAGTTCTTTAGTATGACTTTGCTGTCTGAGCTCCTTCCACGCAAAACTATTTGCAATTCTCCCAACACCTGCTATTCCTTCCTCTTGGGACATTCAGCTTAATCCACTCCATCTCACACATACCTTTTACCTAAAGTATTCTACTTATCCCGCAGGTTAGTTCTGATGTTGTAATAGATAGATTGTCGGTGCTTGCTCAGCCCAAGCCCTGCTCCTATGAGAACTACCCTACCTATCCTCACCCACCTCCAGTTGCAGCCCCACTTACTGCTGTGATCCCACCCCTGCTTAACCACAGCAACTGGACCAGGCCTGGACCAATACAGAGGCTGGACTGCGCTTATCAGATTCCTTCTCCCAGGAATTTGAAATTGGGAGGCTAAAAGACTGGTTCAAATTGTCGTAGTTTGGGACTTTGATATAATATGGTGATTGAGAAAATCATCTGAATGTGGTTTCAAATGAATTTAACCATTCCCTTTTCTCTCTTATAGGCGAAGCACACAGGCCTAGTATTCCAGGGCTCTGTGCTTTATTGTCCTGGGGTTCATCAATAACTCTCTGGCCAAGCGCAGTGGCCCATGCCTATAATCCTAGCACTCTGGGAGGCCGAGGCAGGTGGATCACCTGAGGTTAGGAGTTTGAAACCAGCCTGACCAACATGGTGAAAACCCCATCACTACTAAAAATACAAAATTAGCCGGGCATGGTGGCACATGCCTGTAATCCCAGCTACTTGGGAGGCTGAGGCTGGAGAATTGCTTGAGCCTGGGAGGCAGAAATTTGAGCTGAGATTGTTCCACTGCACTCCAGCCTGGGCAACAGAGCAAGACTCCATCTAAAAAAAAAAAAGAACCTTCTCAAGTCTCAGGCCCTAAGGGAACGAGGAGAAAAGACAAGCCTAGGCCTTTACCTTGGAAGGTCTCTCCAGTCACCATCTGGTGACCCTGGTGCCAAATCCAACCTGCATACAGTTTTGTTTGGCTCCCAAAGTTTTGTTTGTTTTACTCCTCCATGCAGGTTTCCCTGTTTGCCACAGCTCCCTCTCCACCCCTTAAACCTGTCCACTTAGCTTTTTTTTTTTTTTTTTT